CTGTCTGACTCCAGCATCTGAGAGCTTAAGGACAATGAATCAGCTTTGCATCTTGTTTAGTTTCTGTGTTGCATTTCCTCCTTCATCACAGTGACCATGCTAAGAAGGGTTGCCTCCTTTCATGCTACACACATTCCCTCCTTTCTCTTTCTTCCTCTTAATATGTTCTTTTGTCCTCTATTTTCTCAAGGTCCACATCCGGCAGCAGAAGTGTAGATGACGACTCTGAAGAAGGAGGTAGGTACAGGACATGTCTGTCCTCAAATGACCGTTGGAATTTTGACACAGAATTCGTATTTTGAATGATTGGGTAAAAATAATTCTCTTCAAAAATTCTTCAATTTGATTTCACTTTTTTATTGGGCTCAGTGGGCTCCTGAAGAGCCCAATCATGGGAGTGTGCTGTGATGGTGCAGTGAAAATTCCTCCAGTGTGAAGTGTTGTGTGGCTGAGCTGGAGTGGTACCTTGGGGCCCTGGAAGTGCAGCACAGGAAAAGGAAACATTCCTCTCCTTCCAGCACTTGCTCTTTATCTCCCTGCAGCATTTCCAGTGTCACAGTTAGTAGAGAATAAGCAGGCATTGAGCATGAAATGGGAAATGTTCCCAGTCCTTCTTCCTGCCCTTAAAGGAGAAAACCTTTCCTTGCAGCAGTTTCTGGGCTGAACCCTTTTGAGATCTGAAGGAGATTCATGGACATTGCCTGGTTCTGCACTGGGAGATATGGGGAAACCTCCTCTGAGAGAAAGTCCTTGTGAAATTTCCAGTTAAGGAGAAGGAGGTTTATAAAATGGATGCAGCCTATGCAGGGTCTGAGTTTGTCATCCTCTGACAGCACAAGCCCAAAGCCACCTATGGCAGGTTCACCATGACAAATCTCTTCCCTGACTCTCTCTGCTTGTGCCAGTAGCCCGTTCATTGGGAGGATATCTAGGCATATGTGCCTTGCTGCTCTCATACACAATTGCTATTTCTTATGAGAGCTCTGCTGTCTGGAATCTTTCTTGCCTGTTGCCCAGAATGGTGTTTTTGAGGGCTTGAAATCTGTCAGAGATTTACACCAACCTTTCTTTCCATTCCCAGGCCTCCCACTGAGCCAAGCCAAGGGGACAGATCGTCCCACCAGTCCTGGTCATATGAGTGATGAAGACCTGAGGGACAGCTCTGGAAAGGTAAGGGTTAAAGACAGGGATGAGCAGACTTCCTTTCCTTATTGCTTGGCCCCAAATGTCACTGATAATCATAAGCTTCCATTCCTGAGGGATGGGGATTCTTCTTGGAATGTATTTGCTTTTTAAAGAGCAATTGTGTGGCTTTTACCAGTGGTGAAAAGGTGACTGATTTGGAGATGGTGCTAAGGTCATGCCAGAAGCATTCTTTAGGTGCCAAGGTCATTTTAGAGAAGTTCTGAATGGCTGAGCAAGCTGCAGACTAGTGAATGTGTGCAAATTGCACCCTCAGGAGCAGAGAAGCAAAGATTGTAATGTTAAAAGATTGTAATGTTAAGCGTAAGCAAGGCTGAAAAATAAAATGAGAGTTTGATTTTTCATGGTAACCTTTCTGGCTGTATCTCACAGCCCTCTCTTTCTCAATTTTTCTGCTCATTAATATCAATATTTCTGCAAATTGTTTTCACATGAGTCATTTGCTTGAGGTCCTTCAGAGACCTTCAGAGATGAGCTCTTCAGAAGCCAGGAAGTGAGAAACAGCTGCCATTCCTGGCCATGAGTGTTAAGCAAGAGCAATTACCCCTCCTTGCTGCGTATTTATTGCACATTTATATGGTTTTTATTCTGCTGCCATGGCGTGTAGGAACTGAACTGCCTGCTCTCTGGTCATGTGAGCTCTTCACCTGTCTTGGAGCACTCGTATGACTTTGGTGCTTCAAGCAGGGCTTCCTGTCATAGGTTGCAGTTGGAGCAGTGTAAGGTTGTGGCCCTAAAGTCTTCCACCTCCGTGTGTGTAATTGCCAAGATGAGGATGGAAGACATTCTTCTGAAACACTTGGGATGAATATGGAGCTGCATTAAAGACTGTGGCTCTCCATGGATCCTGTGCTCCTGATGAGATGTTGTGTCTGGTTTGGGTATCTCTGCTTACATTTGTGATGTATTTCCTTTGCAACTAGATCCGTCCTGCATTGTGCAAGTTGGCTCAAAAGAACTTAGAGCGGAAGAAAATGGAGCTGTTGGAGAAAGAGCTCAAGAGAAGGAGGCAAACAGAAACATCCTTGCAGCTGCCTCCACAGACAGCTGACCCTGGGGATGCAGAGGAAGCAAGTAAGTGCAGACTACACCTGTGGTCCTTTTTGACCGCTTGCTTGCCCTTTGCACGGTGCTGCAGTCAGGCTGTTCTGCTTGCATCTGAGTGGAAGCTTGAAGAGGAGTTCTTTCCCTTCCCCCCAAAATAATACAGAGGCATGAAGAGTCATGCCCAAGGTTTCACAGACTCAGTAACAGAATATCAGCTTCCCACCTTCATCTCCAAAGTCTTTCAGAGTAGAAAATTTTGTCTTGCAAAGTTAACTGGGGCTTCAGACTCTCTCCTGGAGAGCAGCCTGCAGGGAAGGGGAGTCCAGAAGAATGCTTCTCAGCCATAGTGGAACTGAGAAGAAACAAAATTCAATTCCTTCTAATGAAAACACCAGAGATCCTTCTCCTGCCACAGCCTGCTGAGGAGCAGGCACTGTAGAGCTGTGCTGAAGCCCCGAGCCAGTGCTTCTGTTGTAGCCCCAGGAGCAAGGAGCGTTCCTGACTGAATCCTGGCTGAGGGGCTCTGACTGCAGTGCTGTGTGTGCTGCCCCCAGGGTGGCAGCAGGGACCTTAGGAGGCAGCACTCAGCCCAAGGGCATCACTCAAGGCTATCTGCACTTTCATTTGGTAACTTCCCCAGCCAGAAACAGGAAAACAAAAGCAAAGCAATACTGTGTTTTCCTTCTTTCTTAGGGGAAGCATCACTGCAATTTGGTTTTAAACTAGAAGAGGGTAGATTCAGATTAGATTCTAGGGGGAATGTTTTTATAATGAAGGGGATGAAGCACTGGAAGGGTTGGCTCACAGAAGCTGCTGTTGTTGATCCATTCTTGAAGGTGTTCAAAGCCAATTTACATGGGGCTCTGAGCAATCTCATCTAGATGAAGATGTCCCTGCTCACAGGGGTTGGACTAGATGGTGCTTAGAGGTGCCTTCCA